GAAAAGCCATGTTGGATAAAGGCGGCGTTTTGTCGGATATTGCCTCGCACTTCCGAGATGGTCTTTCGTAATGGGGTGTAATGAGTTGCAGCTTTGGACTTTCAGAAAGTGCCTGGCTAGCCTTGAGACTGGCTGCGCAGGCTGCGTACATTCTTGTTCCAGCCAGTCGCATGTCAACAGGTCGTGGGATTCTGCCAAGCTATCTGGGTCTATGCTGGTATAATTTATCATTTTTGCCGCGGGGGTGCCTTGAGGAAACCCCGTAGCCCGAGCAACACCACTAGACCAGAACAGTTTCAAGTACTCACATAAACAAATCCTTTGACAAGGAGGGGATGGGTGAAGTTTTTCTTGCCTCATTCGCATCATTGGCATCGTTGGTACCATGAGAAGATGCCATTCCAATCCGTGGTGCCCCTCCATGTGATACATTGGACTGGCCATGTACACCAATCATCCACCAGCCAGACCCTCGGCCTAACACGTGAGCACCCTCGTTAACCCCTGCAAGTCATCTAGCCCAGCCTCAAAATCGTGTGCTTTTTGTTTGCCCGCCACGCATTTCAAAGTGTTTCAGCAATCTCACAACATCATTGTCGGAACGTCGTGAGAAGTGGTCGCGCTGAAAAACCACCGGCTGAGAAGGTTGCCAGCTGGTTGTCAGCTCTACAAACAAATCTGGGAGTTACATTCCCAAATTTGTCTCTTGGAATTGTACTCTTCAGTCCTTCAGGACTTCCAGACTGTCATCCACGGCCCCACCGTGGGACCTACTTAGCTTTTGCACCAAAAGTTGCAAGACTTCTTGACCAAAAACTGGTTCAGACTCCGTGAGGAAAACAATGATGCAACCTTTGGTGTTTTGGGTAAGCCAACATTGTGGCTTTATGCTTCTAGTTTCACTTTCTCATGTTCCCAGTGTTGGTTTCTTTGCACTTGGAGTCCAACTCAAACAGATCGCGGGAAAACAAAAACTAACATTGCATTACCGGAGAGTTGTCTTGCTGGCTCAGGTGACTTTACCAGCATGTGCGAAATTGCACACAACACGTGGAAAACAACAACACATGAGTGGACACAGGCAAAAAGTCGGGTAAAGAAGAAAGGTGTCACCAAAAATGTCATGGATGGGCCAATGGATGGGTGTTGTTTAGTCATTCAGATTCATGTCGTTCATGTCGTTCCAATGCAGCAAAAACACTTTTGGATTCGTAGGACAGAGGTCACACGAGGCTTTGCAAACATTCAGTTGTGGAGGCATTATATGATATGTGTGGGTTGGAGGTCGCACATAGTCACGCTATCGATCAATCAATCAATCAATCAATCAATCATTCATTCATTCATTCATTCATGCGAACGGTTGCGAAGCCGTGCCATGGAAGAATTCACATGGCATCCAGCCTACCGCATGATTCCAAAAAATGCGCGGCGTGGTGACTCAATGTGAACATCATTGGTCAAAACAGTTCTTACAACCAGATTACCTTGAATGAGGATGCCTACTGAACTTCACTAATTGCCGTTTGTTTATGAGATGGTATCAAGAAAAACTAGACCCCCAGCAGGTTCCTTGTTCGAGCAGGGATCTATCAACAACAACAACAACCTCAAAAACCAGTTGTGTGCATGCACCAAAAGATTCTGCTTGTGAGAGCGGTGCGGTTTTGCTGTGGAACGAGGCTCCACTTAGACTCATCGGTCTTTCTGCTTTCCCATTGCTGGCGTTCGGGCCTCAGCCACACGACTGGGTGCGAGAGCCTCGGTGCCTTGGTACTGACTGTCCCGTCCAGTTCTTCAGGCTTGTCCCGTGCAGAGCCTGGTTGTCAAATATTGGCGCCCGCGCCGAGCTCCCGGATCCTGGAGCCGAAAGAAAGAACGTGTATCCTGCAGAGCCGAGTCAAATGCCTGACTTCGTGGGAAACAGACTTTGCAGGCTCTTCTTCCCAGACCAGTACGAAGAGGCACAAACGGAGTCTTCTTTGCAGGCAACTATTTTTCTTGCGGAACATGTTTGGCACAGTGTCTCTTGAGAATGCAGAGTTGCAATTGCTACCTAGCAGTGTACTTGGATTTTCTTGCAAAAAGGCCTATCATCGTGGGCTGGCTGTTTGGCCTATCACGGTGATCCTTTGGCTCGGCATGTGGACGTTGCTTCTAAATGGTCACAACCTAGCTGTTGAAGTTTGTTGCTATTGAATCAACAAGTCTGTACGATTGAACCCGTTTGTAACTCCAAGGTAGCTAGTCTTGGTAACTACTTCAAGGGACCTATATTATTGAATACACATGTAAATCAACATCTGCCTTTGAAGCGAACAAAGCGCGGAGGTAGTCATGTGGTGGTAGCCGCTCTTCCAGAGGCTTGTATTGAACAGCTCTTGTTTCCAAGCACTATTGAGATGTCTTGAACTCATGTTCTGCAAGCTCCCAACACCGGGAGCTCCAGAGCTCCCACCGTGCCGCCGTTTCGAGCTCTCCACCGTTTCTGGGGGTCCCGTCGGTCCGAGGATGCTGATGGCGATGGGAGCACGGACTGGGACAAGGCGGTCAGACTGAGTTCTCTGAAAGATGGAGTGATTGGATGCAACTTCTGAGAATGAAAAAACCCTCGTGAGGAGCTACAACGTGCAACAGAGAGGCTGAAGAAGAAGGAGTTGCAGGTCAGAAGTTTGGCACTCACATGCCATCACACACACACATGATCATGTGGTTTTCCATCAAAACATATTTCAACTCCTTCGCGACGCGGACGGCTGTGACGGCGGAGGGTGTTCTCACGTCGATCCAGGAGGGTGTTCTCACGGCTGTGCCGCTCTTTGACCGGAGCGACGACCTTGGACCTGAGCCACTCGGGGCGACGACCTTGGCCTCGGGATCGGAGGAATGCTTCGCCTTTCCCCGAGGTGATGATTGGACCGTGGAAAGGCCGAAGAGCGGATGCGGAGGAATGCGTCCGCCTTCTCTCCTCTTCCTTCAGACGTCCGAAAAGGGCGACTTTTCGGGAGACAACGATTCAAAAGCTTGTACTAGGAGCAAGGACGCTACTAGGGGGCTCTTGACTCTTGGCATCGTGGATGTTCGAAAAGGGCCACTTTTCAAAAGCTTGTACTGTAGTCTTCTTGGTGCCAGGGTGGATTTGAAAGATGAGGTTCCTGCCGCTGGTACTGTTCGGAGCCGACGATTTCTGTTCGCGATTGACAGGTGTTGCAATGAAGCCTTCTGCTGTGCATTTTAACATACACCATGAATCTTTTGACTTTGTCAAACGGCAATTGGCAGGTAAGGTTACCTAATTGTTTAGATGGTTTTAGTGATTTCACGAGGTCCTTCTGGCAGATCCTCGCACTTTCCTCGAGTCCAAGACCATGCCAGCCGCCGCCGCCCGGACAGGGTGGCCTGGATGCACTGGGGCCGACACCTCGATCCAATTCGTACTCACCCCCCGGCAAAAAGAATACAAATACCACACCCCCAAGCACGGCTTCGAACCTCCGTTTCTCACGAAGAAACCTCCGGAGAAACCACGTGGTCTCCGACCGAAAGACCCCGTGCCTCGCGCCGCGCGCGACGCGCGCGCTTCGATCGGGTCCCCAGGTGGATGCCTTCCTTTGAGTCCCGTCGAGAGCGGGCGCGGCTTCCAGCCGTGAACTCAGCGAGCGGTCTTCTTGCGAAGTCGTTGCAACTCGTGAGCCCAGGTGGTGCTCATCACGGAGCATCGCTCGGAGGGCATTGAGGTGCCGGTGTTTTGCTTTTCCCCTTGGAGCTGATCTATATATGTAGAACATGCATACTGTGCATACTGTGCTGAGATGGCTGGAAAGCCTGTCTTTGTTTTGAGCCTCCTAAGTCTTCGAATGACTACGACAGAGACTCAAAAGGCTGCGTCGCTTTGCGTGTTTGGTCACCAGGGCGTTCTGCTGGGCAGCTGGAGTGGAAAGTTAATGGGGGATATGGGTCTGGAGGCGCGGCAGAGCAACCTGCCGACGGAAAAATTTCATTTCTTTGGACGAAAACATTCGTTCCTGCTTAAGGTGAAAGAGACGAAAGAGACGAAAGAGACGAGTAAAGCTTGGTAGGGCTGACAGACCATTCAGGGGGAGGTGATTTCTGCAGTCATCGGTGAGTCTGCGCCAGCACTTTATGACGCGGCCGCTCTACATTGGCGGCGTTGTTTCTCAGCTGTCGTTTGGCCAGTGAGGTGTGGCTTGAAAATACCATCCATCAAGTCTTAAGCTGCGATTCTTTGGTGAGCATGAGATCTATGAGATGCAGTTCGCCTTCTGGACAGTGAGTGCAGTTGTGCGGCCGACATGGCCAATGGCAACACCAGTTGCCGGAGCAAATCGGACGCCAAGGCCAACCCTGGAAGAGGGCTTTCCATGCTGCACTCGTGCGCCACCACAGGTTGAGAAAGTCCAGCACAGCATCGGTCCACTCACAGCGCGGGGCTGTAGGTACAACATCATCTATACACCACCAGTGTTTCTAGAATTTCGAGATATTTTCAGATTCTATTTGCTTGTTTTTCTTGTAAACTATCTAGCCGGTGCGTCGTCCAGGTACCCTGAGATGCCTGGAGCCTCGCAGCTCACGGAAGATGGCCTGGCCGTCAGGTGGATTGTTCCCGGTGGCGCATGATGCTCCAAGTGCTTCTTTTGCCTCGTCGTTTAAGACGGAAGTGAAATTCACGACCGGTTTGTAGAGAAGAAGGATGAAAGAGGGTCCTCCAAGAGGCCGACATGGCATCCACGTAACCAGCGAGGAGTGTAGAGGCCTTTTGTCCAAGCCGTGTCTCAGAAGTTTTTCGAGATCGAACTGGTCGAAGTTTTTGGCTTCAGAGAGTCATGAATGACAGAATTGTGCTTCAGCCATGTCTCAGAAGGCTGGAACATGCCGCTTTAGCAAAGACTGTCGGAGTGTGGTCCAAAGGTTCAAGAGGTGGGACTGAACGAAGGTAGTGTTGATCCAGGCATAGTCACAGGCGTCTTTTTAGGCATAAAAGCTTTGTGCAAAAGCACTGCCGGGCGATGCGATGCCCCGACTTCTGACGGATGCGGGTGGCACCGCGGGCGTTTCACGTGAGCCTCTCGTTTCTTTCGTGCCTGCCGCTGTGGAGCGTGAGCGGAGTTCTTTGGGGCGCCGCTTTCACTGGGAGATCCACAGAGACGCGGTCCGCGCCACGGCGGAGGGCCGTCGTTGGCGGTGCTTCGGCGCGCGTGCTTCGTCGTTCGGCGCAGCAGAATCCGTACGACGTGCTGGGCCTCTCACGCAGCTCCAACTACGATGACATCCGGGCAGCCTTTCGGAAGTTGGCCAGGACCGATGACCGGAAGGGCGATCTTCCAGTTTCTTGTCTCCAAGAAAAGCTATCTCATTCGGAGTTTCATGATGTTGCAGGACATATCATCCCGATGTTCCAGGCACTACTTACTCTGTGCTTTGTGCACATAGTTCTTGAAGCAGCTCAAAGCATCCGATTTCTCATAGTGTTTTCGAACCTCCACTGTGTTTCAGGCAAGAGTTCTTCTTGTTTTCTCTTCTTTGTAGTCTTCTCGATCAGGCACCGGTGATGAAGATCGTTTCCGGTCCATACGTGAGGCCCCGCCTTCTGACCAACACGGTGGTTCTTGGTTCGTGCGCTGAGTGCTGTTGCGCATGGCACGGACCAGGAATGTGAAGCAGAGGAACGAAAGCCCTGCCAAACGCAAGCGTAGAAGGGATGTGTTTGGCAGGATTGGGTCCCTAGTCACCGGAGCTTTGTTTAAAGCAAAACACAACATTTTGCGACCACTTGCCTTAGAAGAAACTGGAAAGTGGATACATATTATATCATATTTTATTGTACAGTTGTGTACAACCAGAATGGTCCCACCTTGGTCAGCATCTGCGGCTCGCCCTGGGTGACCTCATGCCTCCATTAATAGACCGGTAGACCTAGAGGGAGCCGCAAGGATACAGGGAGAGAGAAGAAAAGGATGTTGCAGGGGTGTCACCATGTATTGAGAACTGTCAGCACAAGATCTCATGAATTCCTTAAGGGACCGAATACGCAGAAGATCCCAAACAAAAACTGAACATGGTAGCTGATGCTGATCGTTTGATCAGAACTGAGAAAAGCGGACGGCAGTCCGAGAGAACGCCTCCCTTGGCCTAGGGGGGGGGCGAATGTGGTCAATGGAACGAGACCGAGCAAACGTGATGCCGAATGGAACGGGCAATCGACTCAGGGAACGGGCCCCATATTGGGAAAGATCAAGGTCAACGCCCTCGACTCAGGGAAAGTGAAGCACTCACTAGCCTTGAGTCGTATTTTGTTCTCTTTCGACCCGGCTTCACAAGCTCGATTCTCTCGATCCTTGATTCGCCAGTGCGCCCAGTGTCTGGCACAGCCTTGTGAAGCCAATCCTCTGTCATATGGAGACACTCCACCAATGGATTGGGAGTCCATCTCTTCCTTCTTCCAGTCGGGCAGTCTTATAAGGGCAGTCTTCCAAATCTTAAACCCACACCCATTTTGGGATTGGGATTGGAATCGAGACCGAAAACCAGGCCCGTCATAGGTGAAACCGCACAGAGGAACGGTCGCTCATCGCCAGGCACTGGAGGAACTGGGGACGGAAGCTGGTCCGGGTGCCCGGCCGAACGGGAACCCTGCGACGTGGGCGGAGCCGGAATGGGTTAGTTTACCATGGTTTAACCCTTAGCCTTCAGAGACCATCAAAAGAATGGTTTACCTGCTAGTGTACTGTCAAAATCCCAGGGGGCAGTTGTTGGAATCCTAGGGTTTAGCCGGGTTTAGCGGGTTTGGACGGATCGGCAGATGTGGAGTTGAAGCTGTTTTCGACGATCACTGTTTGAACGTTTGAGGCCGAGCCCGGTGGTCCACAAGCAGCTACAGCAGCGGTCGAGCTCAAAGAAGCTACAACGACTTCAGCTACAGTGGCAGCTCTGACTACAGTTATGGCGCTTCCTACAGCTACAGCAGCGACTACAGCAGCTACAGGCCAGGTTTTCTTTCACCAAAAGTGCAGCTCAGATGGAGAGAGGAAAACGAGAGGGGAGACCAATGACTCAGTGTCGAGTCATGTGGCCGACACTTCTTCATCTGGCTGAATGACTTGAATGCAGGGAAGATCCCTTTGAGACAGCGCAGCGAGCGCGGCGCGCTGATGCACGCTGGAACGATGCAGATCGTGAATCGAGGCCGCTGGAGTGAACTTCAATTGGAAGGCATTTGTGAACATTGGAAGGCCCTGTGCTTTGACAAATGCTTGCTCTTGAACATACACCATATATAAACATCGTGAATCCAGGCCAAAGTGAATCCAGGCTTGCCACAAATCTGGGGATGCATAGTGAATATGCATCATTTTGAAAATTTTGCTTCCTTCTTCTAGCAGGATTGGTCAACTTCCTTGCTTTTCATCCCGTTTCTTCACCGTTGCGGCCAAGGCGGCAGAAGAAAAAGGAGGAAGCTAACAAGAAGAAGGCCGCGCCTTAATAACATGATAAAGATGGATAAAGGGTCCAGTCTGTTGACCGATCATTTTTGGGCAATTTCTGGTTGAATTTCTTGACAAGGCTCTGCTGCCACAGAAGATTTGTTGCTTTTCAGAGGCTCAAGGAGCTCAAGCACAAGAGCTTGTGATGCAGCAGGAGCTCAAGAAGGCCTGGTGGCCAGATTGCCAGATTGAACGCCAAGTTGATGCCAAGCAGATTTGTCTACTTTTTCTTTGACATGCACTGTGCATGAATCAGAAGGTCTTCTAATGCCTGTTCGACGTACCAAGAGCATCCTTGCATGTCACGCAACGGACTTCATGTCTCAAGATTGGATTTTCTCTGTCTCAACGGTGCTTGTGGGTTCGATGCCAACGGTTCTTCACCGCACCAAATGCTGCTGTTTGGCTGCCACTTCGTGCCCGCACGATGCAAGCAAACTATGGAAAGACGGATGTCATTGCTACTAGGATGTCATGCAGGTCCGCTGCATGGACCCATAGGCAACAAGATGGCTTCCTTTAAGGGGACCGGTTTCAGATGGCTTGCTCTCTTTTGTAACACATGGCTTCCACTTCAGTGGTGGAATAGATCAGAATGGTAAAACACGTGTGACATGGGGAAGTCGACTGACCCAATGACGTTTGTCCTACTCTCAAGAATTGGTGTGGCAAAATATAATGCTAGGGGTCACAAAGATTATAGGCCTATCCATGCAGAAGAGCATCTCAGAGTCGACAAACGTAAATGCCTTGCGATGACTTGTCCTGCTGAGCAGGAGTGATCGAAGTGATTTCAGCTTGTTAGTTTGTTCAAGTCACGTTGTGCTTGGTGATTCCGTTGTATTTCGGTGTCAGCTAGTAGCTGAAGAAGCATGACTCCATGACCTTTCCGCCTCAGTTGGATGTCCCAATTGGGTGCGTGCTTTTGAAGAAAAAGCCTCCAGGAGCGCTTCCAGAAAGGTGACAAAGTGGTATTCTGTAACTTGGCCGTCCTGCCATGCTTGCGGGCTTTGGGGTTAGGGCTTCGGGGTATGGAAAGCAATGAGTCGGTACACGATTTGGCCGTTGCTTTCGCTAAGCAGCAGTGAGAAACATGAATCAGTTTTCCTTGTTGGACGACAACTCAGCTCTTTCCGTGGAAGCTCTCGACCTCAGCAAGACCTGTGCAATCTCCCGCCAGAAGAGCAACGCTGATGACAATGGCAAGTTTGGTGTCATCGTTGGATTCGATGAGACGAAGCAGAGGTATCAGGCCGGGAACTCGGCAACTTTTGTTGTACAAGTCCTTTAGTCACTTTAGTCTTTTAGGTGTTGATGTCAAGCTGGCCTTATGTAGGTAAAATTAGGTTCCTGGCATTTGGCGAATTTGGCAAAGTTTGAGGTTTCAGTTGGCTGGACTTCTGAGCCTAAGAAAGTCAAGGCGGAGATACAAAGCTGCAATTTGCGAGATTTGGGTGGATGCCGTGGATACGTTTTTGGCCATGTTCTCTCACGTGAGCTACGTCGAGACAGTAAACATTCGGGCAAAGCTTCAGTTCATACCAAGGAACTTGAAGAAAAAAGCTCCTGATCCTGAACCACTACCGCCAGCAGAGCTACCCCGTGAGCTGAGGTGGAGTTTATCTTTGTGACCACAGTATGTACACACGTGCATATGCCTTCTGCTTTTCCTTTTGCCTCTTCAATTTTGCATAACTTGCCCTCACCTCTTCTGGTTGCTAGGGATCATGAAGAAAAAGAAGGGCCACAAGCTCCTTCGAGCGCTCGATCGAGGAGCAGAAGCCAAAGAAGCCCAAAGCGAAGAAGCAAGAGCAAATCCCGAGAGCGGAGAAAGAGATCGGAGCGAAGAAGCAAGAGCAAGAGCAAATCCCGAGAGCGGAGAAAGAGATCCAGGAGCCCGCGTTTGCAATTCTTTTGGAAGACAAGACAAGCCTCCAAAAAGACATTGTTTCGGGGACCCCGCTATGGTCCTATGGTTCTGGTCACCCGGAAGTGGAAACGAGGTCGCAAGCATGGAGGGCCATCCAGGACATCCTAGGGCCAGCTTCTTTTATAGGGATTTGCACAAGCCATAAGCCTCTATGCAGGAGCCGAAGACGGCGCAGCCCTTCGAAGTCTGGAGACAGAAAGAAGAGAGCCAGGCTCAGAAAAATAGTCACTGAAGGTAGCCTCACCCAATATTTTCCCTGGTTACTATCCTTTTTTCTACCTCCCCTCTTCTCAAGTTTGAGTCACTTGCAAGCGATGTCTCCACCCATCTGCAGGCTTGACGTGGAGAGCTTTAAGGACCCTCCACGTCCGTACCCGTCACCGTCGGAGCTTCCGACCGGCGTTCCGCCGTTGCGGCAGGACGGAGCCCAAGGCCGTTCGGAGCCCAAGGCGGGGGGCGACTCCGATGGCGCCTCGACGCCGATCCGCGCGCCGCCGATCCGCCGCCCGCCGCTTCCCTGGGGGTCCCAGGGAAAGAGCGGCGGCAAAGGAAAGAGCAAAGGGCGGAACTTCCAGATCTCGAAGGTCCGGAGCTGTCCCGGCCGAGAGTCGGAGTCGGAGATGATAGTAGGGACGAAACGGGACTCCGCCTCACGCGGTGTGATAGTAGGCGTCCGGGGGAAAACGAAGACATCGGAAGAGAGAAGCTTCGGGGTTGGAAGCTTTGGGGTTGGCTTTTCTCGTGGATGGTTTTTAAATGAATTTTTTCACCCTCACTGCAAGAGCCATTGATTTTGAATCACAAGTTGCAGATGGAAGTTTCTCGTTGAGTGGTTGTAAGAATCGCCCTGGAATCATCGTGGAAGTGGACAAATTGGTGGTTTAGATTGGTTTAGGCCATGCACATCCACTTCCACGATAATTCCAGGGAGACTGAGGGCAGAACATTGTTCAGACCGGGAAGTGAGCCGGGCCAACACATCAAGCGGGAAGAGAAGAAACAAGAGGCCAAAGGTATCCGCAGGTTTCTATGTTTTGTACCAGCAACCTCCAAGAGCCGTCCATAAATAGCCTCAGAGGTTTTTCGGGGTGTCCAAAAACCACCTGGTAGGTCAGGTCCTGGTCTGGATCCGTTGCTCGTTCCATGGCTCGGGCCACTCGTCTGTGGTTCCATGGCTCGGGCCACTCGTGGCTGGTGGAGTTGTTGCAGGTCGTCACACAGGATGGGACTGAGGGGACCCCTGTGGGTCTCCACCCATGCCATCCGCTTCTCTTGAAGAGAACCTCCGACCGTCAGGGGGGCCGTTCCAGGGGGGCCGTGAAAATGGTTGCGCGGGTCGTGGCACAGCCACCGAAATCATCCAAATCGATGGATCCATGTTTGGAGCCAGACCAGGTCGTGGCGACACGCATCCGTTTGTGCCGATCCTTTTTCCATCGCCGGTCGGAGGCCTTGGCCCGCGTTCTGCGCCACACGGCACAGAACCTCGGGATCCCGATCCGCGGGGACGGCTTCTGCAAGCTCAGTGCCGCTGGGAGCCATCGTGGTTCAAAAGCCGCTTGTGTGTTTTTTTTGATTCTTTTTTTCTGGATCGATTGGGTGGTTGACACTACGTCAAAAGGACAGGGAGAACTAGGTTAGAGATGCTCGGCCGAGGACATCCTGGCTCTTCCAGAGTTTGTTGCACTGGGCTGCACGCAGGACGACATCCAGGAAGGGCCAGGGTTGCCACGAGTATCGGCGTACAGCGCTGTGGCGCGCGCTGTGTTGTCCTCGACAGAAGCGCGTCATGGGTTGTGCAGGCCGCGGTCGAAAGCAATGACAAGAAGCGCTTCGAGATGAAGACAGAAGAGTCTAAGGCCAGGCTGGGTGTGCAAAAGCCAAGGCCAAGCTGGGCCAGCCGCCAGCACCTCTATAAGGGGTTCGCCACACAAAGGTAGGCCAGATTACTCTAAGTTGTGGGTCAAGGGCCAAGGGCCTCTTGAAGGGTGTGAAAGTGTCCCACTGGGCATGTGTAGCGCACACAACGGCTTTGATTTGATTCGACTAATCGCCCCACCTTGTCCAAATTGTGCATCTATTCCCGAACGCAGGCACTGGTGCGAGCCGTTCAGGGACACTCCATGAAGGCTGCGAGACCTTCCAGAAGAAGTTTTGGGCACAAGTTTGTAAACTGTTGAGTGTGATCCTATAGCCTATAGATGCCTATAAGCCGTTTGGTGATAGGGACAATCTGGGTCTATCGTAGTTATATATATATATGACGGTCTTGGACTTGTTGAAGATAGAGGACTACTGTGCTGGCCTTTGCAGAATGATTTTGTCGTCAGAATACTCGTTTGTTTTTATTCGGCTTGTGCAGACGGTGGACGACGACAGCCTCCTGAAACGCCTAGCTGCTGACGACCCTGACCTGCCAAAAGCATCGAACTTAGAACTTGAATGAACTTGAACATTAGGTTTGCGTGACTTTCCATGTACATTCTGTTCATTGCATCAGATCATCCGTGCGTGATGTTTCTTCCTCTTTTCTATCCATCGGCTCCCAAGGTTTGCGTGCATGGCACGTATAAGCGCTGCGTTGAATCGATTCAGAGGCGGAGAGCCGATCGGCAGCCGATCGGATTCGCCTTCTATCGAAGCCTCCTTTTTGGCTCCTCCTGAGGTCCTCACTATCTAGTGTAGGTCCTGCCAGCCAAAACTACCCCACCAGCGCCACGCACGGAGACCAGAGAGCGCGTCGGCAGGAACGGACTTCTGGCCGGTGGTGGAGTGTCGGACCGGAATCACGTTCACTTTGCGCCCTTCGAGCCACATGACGGGCGTGTGATCTCAGGCATGCGCGACTTGATTGAGACAAGGGGGGCAGTTTGTTTTCTCGTGCAGTTTTGAAAGCCGTCTTTTTTCTTTCCAGGTGTTGAACTGAGTGGGCCGGTTGAAAATAGCATTGTTATGACATTCAACATCTCAAGCTTCATGCTTCAAGTTTCGGTGTTCAGACATGACATCTTCCTTCCTGAGAGAGATGCTTCGGGGGCTGGAGTGACGGACTTCCGCTTTTGTGGGAGTTGACCGCATCTGGTCAAGCTCAGCTAACAGAGTTCTTTGCATCTAAGGATACAACTGCGAGGCGCACGATGCACCACAGAACGCATGGGACGCAAACTGAAGTTCATGCTGGTTGTAGGAGAGGGAGAAAGAGAGCGAGAGAGGGAGAGGGAGAGGGAGAGGGTGGGGGCGCGGGCTGGGGCGGAGGCGAGGGAGAGGGAGAGGGAGAGAAGAATTATACAGTCTGTTACAGGGTCTATGTTTGATATGCGTGTACTGAACATTGTTTGGCTTGTTGAATGCTGTTTGCACCACTGCTAGGTGGCAGTCTACATTGATTTGCCAGCAGCACTGCGGGAGACGGGATTTCATCAAAGAGCAACAAAGACAGTTTGAGAAACTGCAAGCATTGTATTCTGAGTACATGAACCGTTTGTCGCGCGCTTCCCACCCGTTCAGCAGGAGGGCGTGCCATTTTTCAAGAGCGCGAATGAGGTGATTCTGTCGCCTGGAATCAATGGTGCAGTCCCTGCAAAATACATTTCAAGGGTCAAAGATCTCTCCGCCTGATCGGCCAAAGCGTTGATGGAAGTGCCTACAGCCAGGGCCTGGCAGGGCCGGCAGGGCAAGGCGAGACGTTGACACGTTCTTAACCATTGTTGAGCTGTGGTCATAATTCCAACAATGGAGAGCGCCCCAGGAACTATCGTTTTGCTTGTGGAAACATTGGTAGACGGTTTCGAACCACCACTCTTTTTCCACAGAAACCACAGTGTTTAACATTAAATTCGTCCAGTCGTCCAGTTGGTTTACAGACTCGAGCTGGACTTACGTACCAAGAAAAGCGTTTCCTGACATGACTTTTTCACCCTGAGATCTTAGAACCGCTAGTGTTCTTTTCCCAAAGCCTGGCCGTTCTTTTCCACCAAGCCACGAGGCTTGTGTCGAGACCCCATCTGGTCGTGGTAGACCGACAGGGCAGACGTCCGCCGTGTTGGGGCCAAAGAAGATCCTCCCGATCCGCCCTCGATGCGCGAACGGGCGCCGACCGGACAGCGCGAAAACGCGCGGGAGTTTGGGCGCGAGTTCTTTTGGTGCGGATTCCCCCGCTGAAGTCGAAAAAGGCGATTCTGCTTGTTTGTGGCTCTCCAACGGAACTTGGCTCTGGCTCCCCCTCGTCTTTGTCGAGGTTTAGAGGATCAACTCGGACATGACATGTTCCGAACGCCAACCAAAGCAGGGCAGTCACGCACAGGGCAGTGATGACTTGGCGTCCAGGAGCATTTCCCAAACTGAATTTTTGGAGTCAGAAACATCATCTGGGTGTGTATATGTCCAAGACTTTTTTGGGGGGTCTCCCTATTTTTGGATACACACCCATTCTACCAAATCTACCCTGGAGCCTTTATGAGTCATGTCAAAATTTGTCGTTCGGACCACGCACCAGGCTGTGAAGGACGCCAAGTCGCGCCAGGCCGGATGGGGGGGGTCGTGCCAGGCCATGACCGCTGGTCTTTTTTCTTTTAATTGCGAAGAACTTTTTGGAACCTGCTTCTTTGTGGTTTCGTTTTTGGGTCGCTTTGGGTCACGTTTCTTTCCTGAGGGGTTGAGTGGTGATTTGTGGAACGTCCTTCTTTCAATCCCTTGGTTTAGAGCACCCAGCCCCGATGACTCGTTTTTTTGCCTGCGCCCCAGTGCTGAAGAGGTACTACGAAGGCAAGCGTGGCACAAGAAGATGAAGGCATTCAGAAGAAAGCGGAGGGAGGTGTTTTTGCCGGCGATCTAACAGGAACGGTACGTGTGTGTGACATCCATAGGTGTGTATGGAAAATGTAGAGATCCCTCCAAAGACCTCCTTAAAACAGAGGACGCCCATTGGTTCGGGGGTCCGACGATTTTCATACAAACCCACGTGATCTGCGAATGTCAGCCTTAGCCGCTAGCCTTCCTCTGGCGACCTTCAGGTTGCAAGGGATGCCTTTAGAAGAGACATGGAGAAGGCACGAGTTCAGCACATAGAGCTGTTCTACCGCAACACATGCAATTATATCATTGTTCCTCTAAATGTTGCTCGAAAAGTCTCAAGAAACGCCTTTTCGTCACGTGACGCGTTTCGACTCGTTTGCGCCAGGAGATCTCGAATGCTTGGCAGAGGCTCCACGGCTTCAAGGAGGCTCAATGGCAGCGTGGCACTGACCAGGTGAGCTGATGCGATCGAAAAACGAAAAAGTCCGGAGTTCCAGGTCAGGATTCGTATGGTTTCATTTGGGTTCACTTCCATGTGTTCGGAATGTGGTCTCCAAAAATTCAGAAACGAACACTTCCTGGCGCCTGACTTCATGACTTCATGTTCTAGGCAATATTGCTGAACTAGACTGAATCAGACCAACAAGTGTATGCTCAAATCCGTGATTGTCCATGGTTTTTGCAATCCATTTGGCCCAACATCACGGATTTTGACCAGGTTTTTCGACCCGCCAGGTTGCCAAATGGAAGGACCAGTTACAGGTGGCCAAGAGGGCAACTGAGAAGCAGCGACAGGAGGCCGCCGGATCGGAGAGTCCGACGAGGGGTTCCGGGGTCCCGGGTCCCTGGCCCTTGGGCCACCTGGTCATTCGGCTTGGTTTTTTCACCGAAAGATCAACGTCGGACGTTGACGTTGACGTTGACCTCGGGTGAGGAAGCGCCTGTCACATCGTTGAATGGTTTGAGCGATGGTTTGATGTCTGGAAGGGGCGCCGAAAAGTGCCTGTCAGGATGGTGAAACATGGGTTCAAAGGTTCGCTGAAGTGCAGCAGCAGGCCAGGCACGACATGCTTGAAAGGCAAAATCCGAGAAAGCAGAGCTCTTGAGTTCTTGCCAGTGAGGCTGCAGACGAGGCAGAGGACTTCCTGCAGAACTGTGCTTGTAGTCCAGACCAGACCACTTTGGGGCCCATTTTCGTTGCGAGAGTTGCGTGCATTTTCGATGCGAGGAGAGGGGTCGAAGGTACTCGGAGCGGTGGCGGGACCTGCGGGACGACTTGGCATCCCAGTCCCAGGAGTGGCGCGTCGTCCGTCGCGCCTCTGTCACGCTGGTGTTGGTGAGGTGTCCGAAAAGGGAGCGGGGCGCAGACGGACGCAGACAGCCCCTTTTTAAAATCTGATAGGAGGCCTTTGTTAACCAGTGATCCTTAGTGTTTTTGTTTGCAAGTGCATTTGTCCTTCTCTCTAAGTACTAGAAAGCTTTAGTGTTGCTGAGAAGCTTCAAACTACAGGTCCAACATTTCCCAGTTGTCTTCCTCTTCCCGGTCGGAAGCTTCGGTGGAATGTCGATCGCTTGTGGTGTCCTCTTCAGGATGAGACTCCTGCGAAGATCAACCAGGATCCGCACCGGCCCGAACAGCGGCGCAGGGCTTTGCAGGGGCTTTGCAGGGCGGATGAAGGGCTCAAGGCTCAAGTCTGTCAGAATACCCTCAGACAAAGCTGGACCCTTTGGCCGCCATCCTTTGTGTCCGGACTCTTTTCTTTTAGGGAATGGGCTCAGTTTGTAGAGGACAATCCCTTTTTGAGAGTTGCCATTGGCCCTTTCATGATTGTCTGAGGGAGGGTGTGCTTGGTGAATCATTGAGTATTTGTGGGAGAGTGCATCCGGAGGATGGACCTACAAACCACAGGCAAACCTGTTGCAACGGGAGGAACAGATTTGCAGCAAGAGGGGCGAACCCACTGGCCCTGTGCGAATCCACTGAGCATGAGTCATGAGCATTGCATCTATGTATATTAGTATATATACATATTGATAAGTGTAGAACAAGCGGAGAACCTGACCAGAACCTCCTACGGACTGAACCTTGGTTGCCCCAACCACCACTGTCACTGAACACCTTTTTCCTTCTCCTGGTGTTGTATGCCCTTGCCCTCCCACCACTGTTGTTGGAGCCGCAGCGGTTTGGAAGGTTGATCATTTACGACGATCGGCCATGGACAAATCACACTCGTCAAATTTCTCTCTATTTAGAATTCTCAGACTCTTTTTTAACCCAAAGGAGACAGTTTCTCTTCTCAGCTCTAGCCTTGAGGGTAGATTCTTCATCAAACAAACTGTAGCGACCCTCGGTTAGGCACTGACGAAGCAAAGAACCATCCATTGCCTTTGTCAGGGAATCGGCCAACTGAGCTCTGGAACTGACCCACCTCAACTGACAGCTCTCTTGAAGGCGTTCTCGAATCAAAAGGCACTCCAAACAAGTCCTGTATTCCTCACAGGAAGGTGTCGAAGTCCTTGTAGCGATATCGTAAACGGACTTGCAATCAGTCGCCACTGCTGCAGGGTACCCTTCGTTCAAAACCTTACTAGGATCTGTCAGATCAATGGCTGGGTTCCTGAGCCATTTCCAAAGAAGGCGAATCCAAGAAAGACGGTCTAAGCATGAGCTTAGAGCAACAGCCTCTGCACTTAAAGTAGATCGCACAACACGGGCTATCTTCCTTGAGGACCAGGCAATTGGACAAACTACACTTGGCCTATTATCCAGAATCTGGCAGTCTGTCGCAAATATTCTATGTCCCTACCTCGAAGACAACTCCTTGTTTGTGGCAAAGGAGAAGCTTCCTGCCGTCTCCCTCTCCCTTGAGGAAAGCAGTGGAACTATCGAAATTCAACAATGACCACCCATGACTGCTCCCCGCCTGTAGCAACAGCATTCGACCATCCTTACTCAGAGTAGGTGCATCGTTGGGAACATAGGAAAGACCTGGGTCAGTAAAACCAAGAACCACCAAACGCGCTTTTGCTTTTCGCTCTCCTCCTGGAGAATCAGGAGGTTTCCAAACCAGGATCCAGCGGCATTTCATAACTTCTTCAGGTTGTAAAGTTCCTGCCGCCACACGCTTGACCGTGTTGTGGTCAAGCCATGAATTGAGCTCTTTGTCCTTTGCAGCTGAACACTTTTGACGGTCTTCTGCATTCAAGTCACTCCACTTTACTTCAATCCGTTCCTTCAATCCGTTCCAGTCACAACAAATGTCTCATAAGTCTGAACGCAAGAGTGGCATTCTTCGTGAATGATGCCCATGGACCATAAGGCATAAAGTAATCTCAAGACTCAAGACGCATGTTTCTTCCTTCCATGAGTGCTCGTCCCCAAACACAAACAATTCATCATCATCACTCGGAACGGGAATCTCAGTGCCATCAACCTCCATGTCATTTTCCCGGGGTCCTGAGCCTTCTGCGGAAGGGGTCGGTGGTGCAACTTCACTTTCTGGTTGACTTTGGGGAGGGGTCACCTCTTCATCTCTACTCTCTCTCTCTCTCTCAACCCTATGGGGCCCTCGGAAGGTTCATACTCAGTGTCTGGCTCCTCATCCAACGAAACAAAATCTCGGGGACCCTTACCCACCATCAGTTTTTCCTGTTGCACCTGACCATGGGAGTCCCTTGGAAGAAGATGGTATTCCCGAAGTGAGGCAGGTCGAATTTGTTCGGGGCTAGCCCTAATCAGCCTTCCACCATGACTCAACCACAAAACTCGGTTCCCCTCTACGGCAATTACCTGGGACGGACCGTGCCACCTGCCTCTTTCTTTCCGGGAACTCTGTGTGGACCTCTTCCAGTAGACGCACCCAATCTCCCGATCTGGTACACGTCGCGAGTCGGTCGCGCAGAGCCTCAGAAGGGCTCGTCGACAGTTCGCTGGAATCGTTGTTCGTGGCACTTCGATGAGCTTGTTCCCGACTCCCCGACGCTCTCTAAGACTCTAGTCCTTCTGGCGAGAGACGCTGTCTGCAATGGCTACTAGCTAGGTCATCCGAGACCAAGGATCCCGGGAGTGTCCTTGCCTTGCCTAGCAATGCCTGTTCAGGTGTAAAACCTCCTACTCTACTCAGGGAGTTCTTAGCTGCAAACACTTGGCGAAGACACGTCCGGAAACCCTCATCATCCTTGATGGGACTTTCATTGTCCATTCGAGTCAACATTGCTTTAACAATGGCCCCATGACTTTCAGTTCTGCCTAGTTGCCATGGGGATCCTCCCGCAGACATGTCCAGCCTGATTCCCTCTCGTTGGAGGAAGTCACGCCAATTGTCGTTGACGTATTCGCCGGCCGGATCAACATACAAGGTCTTGCAAGGCCCTGCCCACTGCAACCAAACATCTTCAAATGCTCTGATCTGAGCATCAGTGTCCCTGTTGCATGGAGTCCCCAAATGAAACAATGTTCCCTCATCTAGGAAATGAACAAAGTAAAAGGTCTTCCCAGTCTTTCCAGTCCAAAACACTCCGTCACACCCTACCTCGTCATTAAAGTCCAAATCGCGGTGTATCCTTCCGGGTCTGCTTGCCAAGGGGGCTCCAAGATTCTCAGCACTTGTGGGACACTGGTATTCTGCTGCTCCGTCTAAAATCTCTTGAGTAGATCCTCTTTCCTTCAAACACTTCACAAATAAATCCGGGGCAGGATGTCCCAGATTGTGGTGAAGTCTATTGAGGTCCGTTTTTGCCTCGGAGCTCAACTTCAAACATGCTGGTCCTGAAACTGCAATAGGTCGCGGTGCCCTGTTCGGGGTGATCTAGTTGACCAGAATCCGTTCCGGGGGAATCACTTTGGTCAACAGGCAACATCTCAACATCCTCCTTATCTACCTTCTACCATCCCCAAAGATGGTGAGTGACAGGCGGCACCGGACCACAGGGGCACGAATGAGTTTATTCAGTTTATACTCCTCTGGTGCCACTCCTCTGGTGCCCCTCTGTCAACACATTCCCCACTGGTCCTGTGAACAAATACTGTCTTCCTAAGGGGGATCTCATTTTCGCTCCCAGAAGGTGGGCAATCGATCTTTCTCTGTCCCGCGGCAGGATATGATCAGAGAAATCTTCATGTCATGAACCAGGGATTGGACCTTCTCAACTAAGTCGCCCTCAATCCGAACACCAACCCTTGGGGTAACCGCTGAAACCTCCTTCATGATGGTCTCCCAAAATCTCCCATATCCATGGAGTCTGATCCAACGCCGGGGTCTAGCCTGTTTATAGTCGCATCTACGACGCTTCAGCTGCAGCGACTCCAAAGCGATTCCTCTGGAGTCAGATGATCGTTTCTGCCCTTCGGAAGCTTCGAATCCAGCCAACAATTCATCAACAATTAGGGGTTCCTCTCCCAGTCTCATACTGTGATGAAGTGCTTTGGCTACATGTCGTGCGAATGTGGGGGTATTACAATGGCTGCCATTGCTGAAATGTTGTGTCGGACTCCTTTGTATGTGCTGCTACCTTCGGACTCCTTTGGATGTTCAGTCTTGTCACATCTTCCATGTAGACCCGTAGAAGTCGAGAGGTCGAGAGCGGTCGTCTGGTCGTCTGCCTGGTGCTCGAAGACGAAGGAACAGATGGGTGCCTGGAACGGATGTCAATGTACCCGACATCATGTCATAGAGTTCTTCCTGTTTAAACATCTCGGAACCTGCGGGTTGTTCCATGTGCAAAATGACGTCCATGTCAAGTCCACAATTTGTTGACTCCCTCTGGTGTTGACAAATCCCCATCTTCTCTGGTAAAACGAATCCCTCGCCCATGAAGAGCATTTACTTGAGTGGTCAATTGGGATTGGAGATACCAAACAACTTCCACGAAGTCAACGTGCCGATCGTGAACTGGATCCCTCTGACTCTGTCCGAGATCGATGACTGAAAGGCCGCTCGTGGACCGTGTGGACCACCCGTCCTCCAACCAAAAGAATGACCTCCGTCAAAAGGACTGTTGGACCTCAGTCCAAGCCATCTTCGGTTCTTTCCACCAATTCCGTTGCTCCTCTCCCGGAGTCTCGGGCGTCTCCAGGGGGCGCCTCGCTTTGGGGTGGGACATGGTCCCTGTCCGTGCCAATTCCTTCTTCAGCACGGATGTGCCTGGGTCTGAAGTGCCTGGATGTGCTGGTTGGGATCGAGGGACATCATCTTCTCCCCGTTTTCTCGGAGACCGGGGAGGTGCCGTTTGGCTGGCTGCTTTGTTTGGATGCTGTTCCCGCTTTTGTCCGGTTTGGTGATGTATCCCTGTGTCATCTGAGATCGAGGAGGGCTCGATCAGCTCGTGCTCGATCAGCGAGGACGTGCTCGAACGATTGCCCTTGAGAACCGGCATCTGGCTTGCCTCGGCTTGATTTCTTCGTTCGAGCCATGCAGTAATTCTGGAAGCTCCTCAAATCCAGTGCGGTGAGGCGCTTGTGGTTCAGGATGAAGGTGACATAGTTGGCATCTTCCTTGTAGGCCTGGTCGAAGGTCCTGTTAACATGCTTTCCATTGATCAGCTTCTCCTGACCCTACTCGCGGACACTTGTCATGCCGCGAGGTGTCTTGTACGTAAAGCTCAGGGCTTGACGGGAGGCGGAGATCAAGGTTGGATCCTCCTCCCTGGAGAGCGTCCTGGACTGAGATCTGGGCCATCTGCTTGGGAAATGCCATAGTTGGTCGCTTTCTCGGAGATGGTCTCTGGTTGCGTGGTCGCGATAGCTTGAGCTGTCTCGTGGGCTACGTGACATGCGTTTGTCAAGTCTGTGGGGTGCTGCAAGTCTGCTGTCTCTTTTGTTGTCTCCTCATTCTGAATTCTTGTGTCATGCACGTGGTGGGAAGCTGCATGTCGTGTTTCTTCCATCTGTGACTGGGAGATGAATACTTCACCTTTCTCATCTTCAAAATCAACATTCAACAGATCACGAACACAAATCAAACGCTTACGAACCTTCCTAAGCTCCAACTCTTGTCTAGCACCATGAAACCACAGTTTTCCCCTGAAAGAATCAATCACCCCTTTCATTCCTTCAACAACTGCGTTCGACAAAAGAAACGGTGTACTTCCGGGCACGATCTCGACGCGAAGCCATCCTTTTCCTTTTCGAGGGAGGTACAGAGCTTCTTGACTTTGGAGCGTCCCATTGTTTCCAAACTTAAACACACAACTTGAGGGGGCCCTCTTAACTCGAACCCCATGAAGTGCCTTGATCAACCCAGGGACCCTTCTACTTCCAATTACCGTCCGGCTCGCTCCAGTGTCCAAAATGGCTTCATCTGGAGCCTCTTCACATGCCCTGCTCAAATCTCCGACGTCAGAAGTCGTCCGAAGGTGTGCCCTGGCCGTGCCCTGCCCTGGCCGAAAAACCACTTGCGAGTTGACTCGAATCCTGAATAGCATTGATCACCTCTTCCTCGAACTCTGCCACAAAAATGGCGTCTTCGTCCCCCTGATCATGCATATGCTGGAAAGCCTGCTCCTCGTTGAGGTCCTCCATGGTGTTTCGGGCCATCATGGCCTCGTCCTCTTCTGATCCCATGGCGGTGTTCACATCATAGGTGCGGTTGCGGGGCTTGGAAATCCCCTGAAGGTCTGTGAAGAACTTTGATCCCAAGAGTCTCACACGATCTCTCGTTGGCTCATACTTCAATTGGCCTCCAGTCTCCACGATGATCTTCTTTTTGTCGTCTGCAGCCAAAGAAGAGTGTCTGAGCATGATGTATGCCCTGATTTCGTCAAGGCTGATGCCCTTGTCGGTGGCGAGGGCTTCTTCGAAACAGTCCTCATGCCTGGCCAGGCAGCTATCGTTCGATTCATCTCCTTTGTGAACCGTCAAGAACAGTGCTCTCTCGAACTTGAGGTATCGATCCTCTGCTGCAAAGCGGCCCCATTGAAGTTCGAGGGCCTTGAGAAGTGCAGAAACGCCCTTCTTCGACTTCAGTTAGGTGGGATCGATCTTGGAAATCTTTTTGAACGATACGGCATCGCACTGTAGAGCGGCTCTGGGAGCTAGATGGTGGATATGCTCCTCTGGCCATATGGACTCCAAAAATTGGAGCTTCTTGCCATAGTCATCCACGTCCGTTTCCCCTGCAACAAACGATGGAATCTGTGCCCATGGCGGCTGACTTGCTGGAAGTGATCCAGCACGACTCGAGGAGGCCTCTCCCCCATCGGTCTCCGGCATGGCTCTCTCACGTGTGGATGGTGAGAATGCCAAACACAAACAACACACACCACAAATTCAACCCTTCCAAAAACCGAAACCTCTACATGGTAACCCTGACCAGTAGACCTTGCCCCTTGTTTTGGGGCTCCGGTACCAATGTAATACAAGCGGAGAGCCTGACCAGAACCTCCTACGGACCCTGTCCAACTGAACCTTGGTTGCCCCAACCACCACTGTCACTGAACACCTTTTTCCTTCTCCTGGTGTTGTATGCCCTTGCCCTCCCACCACTGTTGTTGGAGCCGCAGCGGTTTGGAAGGTTGATCATTTGTCGACAATCGGCCATGGACAAATCACAATAATATATATATATATGTGTATATCACGAAAGCCAGCCGATAGGCTGGGCTGGAGTTGTCGATGGGCGAACGAACTTTTTCCTAACGCATGAGCGCCACTTCTACCCCATAACCGCTAGTAGGCCTTGATCGAAGGCTTGTGTATAAAGATTCTGTCATATCGGCCCTCAATGGGAGACTTTCCGCCTCTGCCTTCTACTTTCCCATGCCTCACAGCAGTTCCAGTGCGCTGTCAGATTCACCCCATAACCACTAACCACACTGATGTCTTCTTGCCAAGGCTGGCTTTCGTCCCCTCCCTTCTCAGGTTTGCATGTGCATATATATATATATATTTGCGCAAAAAGAGCCTTCTTTAAACCAAATGGAGCAGCAAACTACACATTTTCTGCCTTGGAGGAGATTGAAGATCTTCTGAATCAGCATGATGAACGACTTTCTGAACGCTCCTTGGCTGCGCCGAACATTCCTGGAACTTCCGATACTGGTGAGTGCTCCGTCGGGAAAGATTCCCACGGGGCGAGCAGCACCACGCGGCAGACTTTGTTGGTGGGCCAAGAGCGGTTGAATCACTCCATGTTTGTGGTTTGCTTGTAAATGCTCTCGAGGATTTTTTCCAGTGATCGAACATTCTCTTCTGTTCAGCCCTGGGATTTGCCTCCAGAACTCATGGCCGTTTTCCCTTGAGACATGTTGACATTTGTTGGTTTTGGCATGAGGCGACCAAAGGATCACGATGATGACAAACAGTGTTGGCACCAGAGTTGA